TACTGTGGGTGTTACATAATATGGTGTCAATTTGAGGATTTCAGAGTGAAGGGCCGGATTCTAGCCTATCAGATAGTAGCTTGATGATCTCATTTTGGAAGTGGTACAGAGATAAATAGCTTGCTGGAGGTAGCCCACATGCTCATTCCCTGCAAGACCTCCCTGTGGAGAAGACACATGAAGAGAGGCTGATGGAGCCAGACCTCTGGAGCCGAAGAAGCCACGTGGAAACCCCTGCCAGTGCTGGGATACTTATCCACAGGATCCACAAGACTTCTCACCCACTGGCCTGTGATCTTCCTGTATTCGGCGTCATTGCATGTGTTTCATGAGTCTGAAGATGACTTTATAGATTGGTATTGGACATATAGGCTAATGTCAGACTTATGGACTTGATCCAGACAGGGCTGGGGTGTTTTCTCAATGTTCAACTACTCTTGCATATAAAGCCCTTTCCTATAACATATGAGATTCATGGATTTGTTTCTCTAGTTCACCTGGACTAACATACCTGAAAATTTTTATTTTACTAAAATAACCCCCCAAAAGCATTGCCTTTTGTTGTTGTTGTTAGTGAGTAGATGTCTTGACTAATCCATTTTTAAAACTCACTTAATTCAACCTCATACAGCCTAACTTTTTTGCATACTAATGGAAACACTTTCAGTACATAATAGACTGTATTTATGCATCATGTACACATGTAATAAGAGAGGGAACCCTGGCCAGATTTTCATGGATGGCTCCAGGACAACTGCTGGTGACCCATCTGGCTTTGAGGGACACAGCAGGGCAAAACGCTAAATCTTTCGATTCTTGAGGATATTACAAAAATGGTCAAATTACCTGATAAGAATAATTTCTTATTTTTTCAACTCTGAAGTTTTCTTTTTTGCCTTATTTCCCTGGCTAGGCCTTCCAATATAACAAGAATAGAAATGATGATAGCTGCCACTATTTGTTCTTAGTATTAAAATGGGTGCCTTTTGATTGTCTTAAGCTGGGTGTTCAAGAGAAGCAAATCCAGTGGAGTGGGTTTGTGCTTATGTTTGTTTGTGTGTAAATTTCTATCAAGAAAACAGCACACACAGTTGTAGAATTAGGCAAGTCCAAGTCTTGGCAAGTTCATGGATCAGGTGTTAGGCTGAAGTCTTTAACCTGACTCATAACTGTAGGAATTGATGAACCCAGAATTGGCAGGAAAAGAGCCCTGGTGGCATAGTGGGTTATGCGCTGGGCTGCTAACTGAAAGGAAAGGTCAGCAGTGTGAGGCCACCACTCACTCTGAGGGAGAAAGATAAGGTTTTCTACTCTCCTGAAGATTTGCATTCCCTGGAACTCGAGAGGCAGCCACCCTCCATCCTCTAGGCTCACGGTGGGTTAGATTATGGGAGTGAGGAAGAGTAGTCGTAGACCAACAAGAGCATGACAGGCTGCTGGATGCAGAAGCCAAGGATCCCCAGGGTGGCAGGTCAGATGGCAGACCACCGACAGTTCCCAAGATGATTAGGTATTGTGGGCGGCCATTGGCCCAATTCCAAGGTTTTTCCATGGGGTCCGCCTATATTTGAAATAGGCCACAATCCCTTGAAGAAATTACTTTTAAATTGGTTACATCAATGCTGTACTCCTACCCTAACCTTACAACTGATTGGCTGTTCCTAGCAGATCCCATTTATGGAAGTGATTACTTTGTTAGGTCACATCATGGGGACTTACTGAGTTTTAACTGCCAAACCACTGAGAATCCTGGCTCTGCCAGATGGACATAAAACCTAATTAGCACATTGATGTTTCACCGTTAAGTATATTATTTAATTTTTAAGAATTGTTCTTTATCAAATTTTAAAAGTTTCTGTTTATGCCTATGCCTAGAATTTTTAATATAAGTGGTTATGGAAATTTACCCAGGGATTTTCTGCATCTTGTTATTATATGAAGTTTTAACACTTTGATGAGTGTGGTGAATCATATTAATTGATTTTTTTTACCCCGAGGACAGTCTTGCATTCCTGGAATAAGTCTACCTCAGTCATATTTTATCTTACAAAGTTAGGTGTGCTGTCATGTCAGATTCTTTTATACATGTTTGTAAATGAAACTGACATTTCCTCTTTTCACATATTTTTCTTCATCAACTTTTGATATCAAAGTTATATTATCTTCATAAAATGATTTAGGAAATGTTTCTGCATTTTGCCACTGCCACTGTTCTCTGGAAAAGTTTGTACAACACTGGTATTATTTGTTCCTCGGAGTTTTTTTAAACTCCCTTTAGTAAATTCTCCAGGCTTTTCATTTTCTCAGGGAAGAATTTACCTGCTGTTTAAATTTCTTTAATTGCTATGGGACTCTCAGTTTTCTACTTATTCATGTGTAAGGCTTATTAGTAACTTCTATTTTGTATGCATGTATACATTTATAAATATTAACATGAAATTGTTCAGTTTCTACTCCTCCATCATTTGAAAACAATGCCTTTGTTGTTCAAATTGTGTGTATTTGATTCTTCACTCTCCTTGTCAGTCTGAACAGAAATGTTATATTTTTGTAATAACTGGGCTGGCATTTCTGATTTGTGGTTTATCTTACACTATTTCATTTTGTTTTATTATTCCTTTTCGCTACTTTCTTTATATTTTCACCATGGAACTTGTGATCGTAGAATCCAAAAGCATTTGCTCACTGGCCAGATTCTAATCTTCTCTGTACCAGTGACAGTGCTGAATGACTCTCCTTGGAGCTTCGTCCCGGGCCCTGAGGCACGCTAGTCTTTGAATATCTGTAAGTGCTTTGAGGTTTGCTTTTGAATAATCTGTCATTACACCTCTTCTAGACCTCTTTGTCTTTATATCTTCTAATGTAGGTGTCCTTTTCCTTCTTATTTTCTCTATCACTTTTAATTGACAGACACTTTTACTCCTCTTAATTTTAGCATCACTTATCTGTGAGTGATTAGACAGAATCAAGGACCTCTGGACTATCCCATATCTCCCAATGAAACTCAAGTATCTTCTTAAAAGACGTTGCCTGCCTTTGCATCTTAAATCTGTATATTTCTCTGTGGGCTATTATCTAGGATTCTTCTTTTTGCTTTACTAGCTTTGAATCATGAGGCAAAAAGGAGGCTATCTGCCCGTGTAAAAATATACAGCCCTGGGTTCCCTCTATAAGCTTGCTGTGAGCCGGAGTTGACTTGATGTAGTAAATTGGCAATGAAAGCTTACCTTCATGTTATTTCCCAGCATCAACAAAGAGGGAGAGAACTAGGCAGTTTAAACCATTATCCAAACAAAAACTCAGTGCCATCTAGTCGATTCCAACTCAGTGACCTATGGGGCAAAGTAGAATTGCTTCTTTTGTGTTTCTGAGACTTTACATTTTTATAGGACTAGACAGCCTCATCTTCGTCCTGAGGCTGGAGAGGTTCAAACCATTGGCTTTCAGGTTAGCAGCTCAGTGCATAACCACTATGCCAGCAGAACTCCTTCACAGACGATTATGGCAGGCTCTACATCAGGGAATCACTGAAGTAAATCAAGCAGTCTTGTATGCTATACTGCTTTGCAATTAACAAGGGACCTGATACTGTTGTTATGAAAACTTGAAAATAGAATCACTGTGTAGAATTTTTATTGACTCCATGGTGGTGAAATACTTGGCTTTGGAAGACGTCTTTTTTATTATACACTAATCTCTATGTTCTTATCTTTGTTTTTCAAAATTCTCATCTTTATTTTTAACCTTGTTGGTTTTTTTTATATCATCTTTCTCTAATGGTGCATTATCTTAAAATCATCATATAAGTAATGACTTTCTGCACAAAGACAGCAGACAATGATAAAATATGTAATTTTACATTCATGAGACTAGTGTGTGCCATCTGAAAGTGACCCTAAGTACTTTTCCTCTTATTTTTTTAACAGAACTTTAAAAAAAAATTAGTTTCAGGTTAAGTGAAAAATTGTTTAGAAAGTACAGCGAGTTCTCATATATTTCCATTCCCTCTGTACACGCTGGTTTTTCATCACTTGACACAAGTATGTAACCTTATAGTTTTATTAACTAACTGTCTAGGTAGTTTCGTAGTTTGCATCTTGTGAGTGACTTTGGGGGATGACAAAAGCGTAGGAAGAGAAACGGTCACTATGAGATTTATCTTGAAGGGAGTCTACTACATGAGGGGACTTCAAACGTTTGTGGGGAAAATGGAATAGGAAGATAGTGGAATCTTTCCCACTAACATTTTGAAGCCCTCTCATACATAAACTTAAAAATTTTTCTTTGGGCCATGTGATGGCTCTTGTATGCTAGATATTATGTAGGCTGTATAATGCCAGAGCAACATGTAGAAATGCTGTATTGAGGTTCTAACTCATACTCTACTAACTGGTTTGTCCACACACACAAGGATCAGAATAAGAAGTTGGGTTGTCAAGGACACCCCTGCATGACACTTGCAGGTTACTGTGTTGTAACCTTCGATGACATTGTAGTCAGTATAAAATAGCTTGTCTATTTCTAAATCAATATCTGGTCATGGCAGAATGAAAGCTTTGTATTATATTTTGCAGACTATGCTTCTGAATGTAAACTAGTCCCATTCTCAGTATCAAATCTTAGCATATTGTTGTTTGCTGCTGTCTACTTGGCTCCAGCTCCTGTACAACACAATGAGACAGTGCCCGGTCCTGCACCATCCTCAGAATTGTTGTTAGGTTGAATCCATTGTTGCAGCCCCTGTGTCAATCTTTTGTTTTGGAAAGCTTCCTCTTTTTTTTGTCCTTCTACCTTATCGAGCACGATGATCTTTTCGGGGGACTGGTGTCTCCTGATGTAAACACGTCCAGAGTATCTGAGACCAAGTCTCACCATCTTCACTTCTAAGGAGCATCTTTGCTTTTGGTGGTCCTTGGTACTTTCACCATTCTTTGTCAGCATCATAATTCAGATACATAGGCTTTTCTCCAGTTTTCCTTATTCAATGTCCAACCTTCCTTTTCTGTTTGAAATTAGCTCATGGGTTAAAATAGGTGCAGTCAGCCTCAATTTCACTTCTCCTCCTTTTATAACCACTCAGACCAGTGGTTAGATCTAATGGGTAAGTAATTTGAAGGGTTTTTAAGGCTGTGACCCTTTTTAAAAAGTTTTCAATTAATTACTAATGTATTTTCTCCTTTAATTTGTAAACTGTGAACCATACAAAGAAAACATACTATATGTAGTTGCACAGTCCATCACGTCAGAACAGTGACAGTGTCCCTTTAAGTCCCATCCCCCCCTGTAGTTTCTTCTTCTTCTTCCACTCACCCTCTTTCCTTCCCTTCCTTAGTTCCCTCCCTTCCTCCCCTGGCCTCAGTCTTTGCCTTTGGTCTGAAAAAAATTTTTTTTTTTTGCTTTATAATAATGGTTCATGAAATATTTGTCTTTCTGAGATTTTCAGTGTCCAACTTTCATCTGCATAATAGGCAATTGAAAATACCTTGGCTTTGGTCAGGTGTACCTTAGTCCTTAAAGTGACATCCTTGCTCTTCAACACCTTAAGAGGCCTTGTGCAACAGATTTACCCGGGGTAATGTGTCATTTGATTTCTTGACGGCTCCCTCTGTGAGTATGGATTGTGAACCAGAGCAAGATGCAATCCTCAATTGATGATTTCATTCTTATTTATTGGGGTGTTAATTTGTGAGCATTTTTGTTTTCTTTACAGGGAGTTATAAGAAACTTGTATTGAAGGCTGCAATCCTTGAAATTCATCAGCAAAGCGCTATAAGTCTTACTTTCACAACAAGGTTGTATCATCTGCATATTGCAGGTTTTTAATAAGCTTTCCACCAGTACTGATGCAGTTCTTCCTCATAGTCCAGCTTCTCACATTATTTGCCCAGCATATAGAATGAATAAGTATGATGAAAGGATACAAACCTGACACACATTCTTTCCTGATTTTTTCATTATGTAGTACCCCCTTGTTCTGTTCAAATGACAGTCTCTTGATCTATGTATAGGTTCTGGATGAGCACAGTGAAGTGTTACGGAATTCCCATTCTTTTCAAGGCTACCCCTATTTTGTTACGATCCGCACAGCCAATAAAACACAAGCAAACATCTTTCTAGTATTCTCTGCTTTCAGTCAAGCTCTGTCTGACAGCAGCAGTGATGTCCCTTATGTCACGTCCTCATATGAATCTGGCTTGAATTTCTGGCAGCTCCATGTCAATGCAACTTTTTTTTGAATGACCGCCCATAAATTCTAGTTCTATGTGATAATAAATGATATTGTTCAACAATTTTCATACTTGGTTGGGTTGCCTTTAGAATGGGTACAAATGTGGATCGCTGGCACTCAGTTGGGCAAGTAAGCTACATTCCAAATTTCTTGGCATTGACGAGTAAGTTCTTTCATTGCTTCACCAGCTTGTTGAATGTTTCAATTTCCATTGATTCCTGGAGCCTTGTTTTCAGTTAATGCTCTCAGTGTAGCTTAGACATCTTTGTTCAGGACCATTGGTTCTTAATCAGATGCTGTCTCTTGAAATCATTGAACATGGATGAGTCTTTGGGTACAGTGACTGTATTTCTTCCATCTTTAATGCTTTCTGCATCGTTCGATAGTTTGTGGAATTTTTCAGTATTGCAACTCAAGCTGAAATTTTTTCCTCAATTCTTTCAATTTAATATATGCTGAGTGTGTTGTTCCTGTTTGGATTTCTCACTGTAGGTCTTTGCACATTGCATTCTATTTTACTTTGTCTTCCTGAGCTGGACTTTCCTGTTCAGCTATTTTACTTCATCATTTCTTTTATTTTCTTTACCTGTTCTATATTCAAGGTTGAAAGTCTCTTCTGACACCTACTTTGATCTTTTTTGTTAGTTTCTGTCTTTTTAATGACTTCTTTCTTCATGTGTGATCTTTTTAATGTTATCTCACAGCTTATCAGATCTTTTGCCATTACGGTCCAATGAGTCAAATCTATTCTTGAAATTTATGTGGGATATACTCAGAATTGTAGTCTGGCTCTTTTGGACAGGTTTTAAGTGATTAAAAAGTACTGGGATAGCATGTAGGAGATAATTATGGATGAAACTTCTTGCTAATGAGAAATCTGGAGCAAGCTACATTGGGGGAAATCTTAAAAATTAGTGAAACTTTTAATTTATTCATGGTTACCACCTCACTCACTGCCGTTGAGTTTATTATGTCTCATAGCAACTTTGGAGGGGCGGACTAGAACTGAGGCTGTAAAGTGTCGCCCGCCCCGCCCACCCCCAGCAGTTTTATTGCTACCTAATCCACATATCATACAATTAAATTGTATCAAGAATAATTGTACACTCATTGTACACTCACCACAATCAGTTTTAGAAACATCCCCCCATGGTTAATCACCTTTAAAATGAATTATGTAATCACAATCAGTTCTAGTGCTCCCTACTACCACCTGCCTTCCTTGTTTACTCCCCAAATCTCCTTACCCTTCCTGTCACCCACCACCCAGCTATATCCCTTGTAAACTCTTGCATCAGTTATTATCTCTGTGCACCCACTCCTTCTGTGTTTCACAAACTGGGAAATCCAACAGAACCAATAAAAAAACAAAGTGGTAAGGATAAAATATAAAAATAAAATTACAAATAGTGAGTTAAAAAGAAAAGACCCCATCAATATTTTAAAAGCCAGGAAAGAAATTTTTGTCATGGAACAAGTAAGAGATTATTGCACTAGAATAAATTCAGGTTGGGTCTATAGGAGGTCAACTGGCCAAGTGTCAAGATTGATCCAGCGTAATCAAGATTACATGGTCTGCCTGATACCCTGTTTCCCCAAAAATAAGACAGTGTCTATATTAAGTTTTGCTCCCAAAGATGCGCTAGGTCTAATTTTCAGGGGATATCTTATTTTTCCATGAAGAAGAACACGGTGCACATTTATTGTTGAACAAAAATAAAGGAAATTTATTACCTGTAATACGATACGGTAGTAGATGTCATCACAAACCAGCATAACCAGACAAACTGTGAAACCTACAGTGTCAAGAATTTCTTGTCACTACCATTATTTCCATGTACAACAATCTATGGTACATTTACTCATTTATTCAATGACAGTCATGTCATCATCTTCTGGAACATCATCATAACAATCTAAACCCTTATTTTCGGGGGATGCCTTATATTTCAGCGAGAGGCAAAACTGTAAGTAGGTCTTATTTTCGGGGGATGTCTTACTTTTGGGGAAACACGGTAGTAAGACTGTTTGTGACTCCTGCCTGTGGCCAGAGGGAATCTGCCAGCGGCTCAGTATGACTAGATACTTTGGGGCTCCCACTACCCTCCTTAGCTTTCTTCAAATTGGGTATTCAAAAATTTAGCTCTGATACTTTTCCCTTTACCATACTCAAAATTTTAAATCAGTAAACTTGCAAAAGTTTATTGTCCTTGTATTGTCAAACACGTGGCTGTACCCTTATCGGCCCTGAGCTTTAACCAAGGAATCTTTGAAATCGCTTTTTAAAGTTCTAAAAATTCTTCCATCCTTATCATTTATGAAAACTACTTTCTGAATCAGTTGGTCTGCTCAAGAGTCTGTTTAATTAGTTTATTCCCAAACTTGGCCAATTATTGCCCCCAATTGCCCTTTATGTAAATCATAAAATTATTCTGTTCCCACTAACTTTAATTTCATTCATGAGCCTTCCTTCCACATACGCACTCTTTGTAGCATGATGACAATCCGACTTAAAAGTCTCAGGAGTGGCAAAAGTCATTTCCTTAGAAATACTCGCTGACCAATGTGCAAAATACCATATTTAAATATTTCTAGATTGATGTTTTCTCTTACAATGCCTAACCCTATGAATAAGACATTCAATCATCTTATCAGGAGTTGTCACCTTCCAGGTCAGGTTTTCATCCATAAAATGCAGTTGATGTTCTTCAATGATGATGATTATAGTTTACAGCACCAGTGCTTTTCTCCCTTCTCCATAGAGCCTTATTATAGAACTCCAGTCTGTGAAACGGAATAATGTTGAGGTGTCCTGGGAGCCAGCACTTCAGTGAACTCCGTCTCCACCCATTTGTACAGTAGTGATATATTTTTCTTCCCTAAAGCCAGCTTTAGCTTTCATGCCTATTCCAACTCCAGTTGCGACAATCACTGCATTCACTTCTGACTGGTCTAATACTATCTAGTGGTTGTAATTTATTATTTATATCTTCTGTGATTGTTTCATAAGCTTTAGTTGTGTTTGTGTACTTGCCTATCTACCTTTAGAAGAAAAACTATTTTATACTATTTCCTCCTGTTTTAGAGTCCCTTCTTTTTGGTGGTGTTGATGCCTGGTGAACATTGGTAACTGAAGTCTAGCCACTTATTTCATTTGCGTTTCTTTCCTTAAGAGTTACAAGTATTTTGCTTGTTTTCTAGGCACGCAAACAAATGGTTTGGACTTTCAGAAGCAGCCTGTGCCTGTTGGAGGAGCGATCTCAACAGCCCAGGCCCAGGCTTTCCTTGGACATCTCCATCAGGTAGAATATTCTGCTTAAACAGCTGTGGAAAACAACAATGGGGCACAAAATGCCAGGACTTGGGGAAAATATTTCAGCATGTAGAGCTCCCTAAGTTGTATGAAAGTCTGGTGGTGCTAATTGCATTGAACTGTGCCATTCTGAATAGATAGTGTGAAATCCTGTCTTTTAGTTGATTATATAGCCATTGGCCTTGTAACTGTTTGCATAACAATCCCTTGTTATATAGGGAATGTGTATAGCACCTGGATTATTGTTCACGTGAGTGAGTCATAGTAGCTAACTATTGGTTGTAAGATATACTGTATCAGAGTCATCCAAAATGATCTCAAACCACCTGAGACTGAG